GTTGCCCTGTACCTGTGCATGTGCAATGACAATAAAGTTGAATTCTATTCTAATTCTATTCTAAGTGTGGGAGTCATTGTCCATGATTGCCCGCAGTCTTGTCAGCATTCTGTCACTGATCACCTCCTCCATGGTGGCGAGCTTCATGCCAAGAACAGACTCGGCCGATGAGTTTGTTCAGTCTGTTTGCGTCCTTTGCTTTGATGCCTGCACCCCAGCACGCCACAGCAAAGAAGATGGTGCTCGCAACAACAGACTGATAAAACATGTAGAGCAGCCTGCAGCATACATTGAATGATCTGAGCCTTCGTAGAAGTCAGTGTTAGCTGAGCACTCCAGCTCGTGATCCAGTTGAACTCCCAGATCCTTACAGGATTGCATAAGCAGCATTGTGCCTGTGCTTGTGAGGTGAAATACTTTGCTCATAATTATATTTTACCACAAGTATAATTCCATGTTTAAGCTCCCGCCACAGCTTCATGACCCAGTTTGGGCCAAGTTTTAGCTGTTACACAGATGTCCTCACATCTGAATCTAGAATACAACTTCAGATGAGAGGAGTTCATGGTTGACTCTGTGAGTTCAAGATGCCCAGGTCTTGTGGCTTCAAAACAAGCCCATATCATCACACCTCCACCACTATGCTTAACAGCTGGTATGAGGTGTGTGTGCTGATAGGCTGTGGTTGCTTTTCTCCAAACACGGTGCTGTAGTTCTTGTTTTAAAACTGGAGAAGCCTTTTAGATGAGAGGTGAAAACTCTTTAAAATAACCTTGGAGAAGTCCAGTTACCTTCTTTTCAAAGTCTTAAGACTACCATGTCCTGGATGACTGAGAACCTACAGATGCATAACCCATTCTTCCGCAGTCTTTTTCTAATTGTACTGTCATTTACTTTATATTTAATATGCTAACTTAAGCCTGTATAGTCTGTAGCTGTTGGTTTTCTTGAGTGTATCTGAGCATTGATGTGTGCTGTTGGGAGCCGATAGTTAAACCTATGCTGTAAGACAGTCGTGTGCACTTTAAGCAAGGTTAGACACTTAATTAATGGACACTTAATGAGCAAAGCTTTCTTAGTTTTACCATGTTCTGATTTCCTACAGTAATAGTTTTTTTTTCCATACAATAAAAGTAATATTATTCATGTTTGTGTGTTACAGCTGTGAAGATGCTGTGTTCTAAAAAAGTTTTTTATTCGTTTAATTATTAAAACCAAGAGACTAGGAAACACAAATTCAGCTGGTATTTAGGACAACAAAGGACGACTGCACTGAGTGTGTAACTTCCATTGCATTATTAACCTCTTAAGCCCCAAGCCTACCTGATCTCCTGCTTTTTGCCCCCGTATCAGGGGGCGTTGGGGCTTAAGAGGTTAATGATAACCCTAAATGTTTCACCTTTTGAGACACATTCGATGTGTGTGTGTGTGTATATATATATATATATATATATCTGCTTTGTTTCTTTCAACAGTTGTGTGAAATGGCACTGTCCCATGGCTACCTTCCTGTGGTATTCAATCGCCGCAACCACAACAGCTGCCCACTTACAACCGTGAAACTGCAGCAGTTTGGTGATCCTGCAGATCTACGAGAGGCTGTGCGCTACATTCGCTACCGGCAGCCTGCGGGTAGACTGTATGCAGTGAGCGAGAGCTCAGGGTCAGGCCTTCTGCTGTCCTACCTGGGGGAGTGTGGATCTTCAAGCTACGTGACGGCGGCTGTCTGCTTGTCTCCTGTGTTCCGCTGCCAGAGCTGGTTTGAGAGTGGGCTGTGCTGGCCCCTGCAGGGGGCGTTGGTGCTGTACCAGAAAATATGTCTCAGCAGGTACAGAGGAGGGGGGGGATAAGAACCAGTTATCCATAGTTTTTACATGATGTCAAAACTACTAGGACATGCCCACCTCATGGGCAGAAGTAGTCCTTTGCACTCCAGCCATTATTTGAATGTCTTCAAATTGAACTTAGCCGAAATATCAGATAGTTGCTGTGCTGTCAGATGCATACATCAACGTATATTTACAGCTGCCAGAAGGGCCAGCGACACAGGCTGTAAGTGGCAGCTCATAGGAATATTTCCTACCTGACATTGGAAAATAATCAGTCAGCTTTACTGTCATGACATGACATTAATGTGAAAAATTAATACTACCAGAACTTTTCTGGCCCTACACTGTAAATGTTTAAGTTGACAAATTGTAAGATTTACATGTAGCTTTGTTTAAGCTTGCTATGTATCACTTACCTTTGCTTTAATGATTAACAATTTCTTGTTCTTCACCTCCCAGACGGTGACATTATTTACCCATTCGGATCAAAACACATGTACCTGTCTATACTTTACGCCAGGATGAAAGCTGTCATCCTGGCACCGAACTGCAGCTCTAGGAGAGATATTGTCACTTTCAGGGACTTAAATAAAGCTGCCGGGTGAGAATATGGCTCAAGACTGGTGAAAAAAGCAACACTTTTGGCCTGCAGTACTGTCCATTATGAGCCATAAAGATGGAGTAATGTTGTGACCACGAGAGCAGTGAGTCTGACACATGACTGAAAAAAACTGTGTATTGACAGACTGATAGTAAAACAGTGGCCTTAACTCCACAATATTACCACTTGGGTTTTATTTTTATAGCTTTGGCTACATTTTGTATTGTATGATGATTTATGCATATCCATATCGCAACAGCGAGTTAAAAAAAGGCAGATGATTAAATAAGTAAAATCCTCCATAACATAATGTAAGAAGCTCGTCTAATCATTTGACTGCTAATTTGTCTTGTTCATTCTGACTTATTCTTGGGGTTTATTGCTGCATCCCCAGAACAACAGGAGACGAGACAAATTGTGTATTTGTCCAAATAACACGGTAACATTTCAGGAATTCAGTGCTGGAACAGTTTTATTCAGCTTAAATTGTCAAAGTGCAGCCATGTAAGGATAAGGTCAGTGTGTCACAAGGTAATTCATTTGAGGTGCTTGCATGCTGTGGCTGAAATTAACATAGCACGAGCTTGTGCTATGTTTGTGTTTGTGACACAGGATGTAGAAATTTGAGCTATACTAATGAGTAAAATATGCATTGTACACTCAAAGTCATGAGGCCATGTGATCATGTGGCATACACAAAGCACAACACCAAAATAAAAGAATTCTATAAATACAACTGTATGAAAATTTGAGTTTTCCTTTAATGATATTTGGTAGCTTGCAAAGGGAAGAAAAAAAGGAGCTCAATAAGACTCCCGTTCGAAGTACACCTTAAAATTATGTCCTTTAAGACGGAAAATCGCGATGTTTTTGTGGCCCGAAAGGGAAAAGGGGGCTTGTGTGACAAACAGACAAATAAGTACTCACAAACCTTCAATTGGAGAGGCACATACAATTTGGGAAATAGTCATGTCACTGTAGCAACAAATAGCTCGCTCAGTGTTGAGTCATTGATTCTGAGAGACATTGTGACCATGGCAAAGTTTCTCAAATCAAGGCCAATGAGGAGTATGAGACCCATGTAGCTCTTCAGAATTAATTTACTGTTTTTTCATTTGTCTTTGTAACCGTGTGTGTGTGTGTGTGTGTGTGTGTGTGTGTGTGTGTGCTTGTATTGATAGATACAGAACCGTGCTGGCTGAGACCCTGCAGACAGACACTCTGTTCTCCAGCCATTCTTTGCGTGGCCTGGAGGAAGCACTGTTTTGTCAGCCTGGATATCCTGACTCTACACCTGCAGCACCAACAGGAAATGGCTGTAGCAGCAATACATCAATTACCTGGGATGCTTACTGGGAACACAACGAACCCTTAAGAGATGTGGATGAAGTGGCCATTCCTGTTTTGAGCGTGTGTGCTAAGGATGACCCTATCCGTGGAGACGCCCATTCCACAGTGCCCTTGGAACTTTTTGAAACAAATCCACATTTTTTTCTCCTCCTAACTGACCGTGGAGGTCACTGCGGTTTCTCCACCCAATCTGAAGGGAATGCTGCTGGTGCAGTGGGCTCCGTGGCTGCATCCAACAGAGGGATGGAGAGTCACGGGATCAACTGGAGCCACAGAGCTTCACTGGAATTCTTTAGGGCCACCACGGACTTCTTCAATGCAGAGGAAAGAGTGAAGCAGATTGCTTCAAGGAGGAGGGGCCTGGGAGGAGCTGCAGGAGGAAGATTTTTTCGCCACCGCAGCGTCAGTACATGTAAAAGAGTGCCAGCTTGTTCTCATAATATCCACGCTATTTACAGCTGGCAGAGATCCTACACACGATGAGGAAGCTTTATGGAGATTAAAGGTACCCTGTGGAGTTTCTGTGTAATCACATTCAGCTATTCCATTTTAGTAAACCAAAAAGGGAGAAAGTTTAACTTTTACATTCAGATACACTTTACTCCTCAACAGAGCTGCCTTTTCTGCTGACTCCTTTGACTCGTCTTGCCTCCCATTGTTCATGCGTTGTTGTATTATACATGATGCTCGATGCACATGTAGATGAGTGGAATGGTGTAACGCCATATGTGTGTACATGTGTATTGTTGTGTATGTATGTGAACTCATAGCACTGCTAAAACTTAAAAAAAAAACCAAAACACCACAGGGCACGAGTGACGTCTGACTTCAATGCTTCTAATGTTTTTTTCATAATTGGGATGTGAGGGGCCAAATTGTTCTCTGGATGTGTGTCACTCACTTGAAAGTGTTATGACAACCAAACTTTGAAAAGTGCTGGGATTGTGAAGGTGTGTGTGTGTGTGTGTGTGAGAGTGTGTGAGTGAGTGAGTGAGTGAGTGCATTGTTTTCACACTGCTAACTCGGGACACAAACCATTAGGATAGAAAAATGACAGACCACAAGATTGCATGCAGTTGTTATGTTCAAAAGTGACACTATAAAAAAAGTCGACAAATTATGAGTGTCTCTATATTTTTCTACAGATTTAGGTCCTCTGTAACGTCAGCTGTTGCAGGAATTTCTCAGTTATATTAACAAGCTTACTATATGTTTACAGGGTCCGAGTCATCTGCTGCACATTTTCCCCCATTTCCCCCCTACATTTGTAGCCACATTTGCTTTGACTTTTGAAACCTTACTGTGTATTGTATTTTGTTGTTTTTACTGCAAGTATATATATTGAGGACTAAGACTTATGCCTCAGTTTGGAAGAAAAAAATAAGTGAATCAGAGTTTCAGACTAATTGGAGCTGAATGTTAAAGGAGTTTAATTAGTTAATCGACTGTTTTTTCTATGTGTTACAGAGAGTTAAGTGAGTATGTTCTCCTCTGTGTCAGAAAATATCCTGTGATGAACAGAATAGGTGAACACCTGTGAGACTTTTAACCAGTCAGCCTTTATAGGTCTGTGTCATGCGAATGGAAGCACTTTGTAAGTTTTCATTTCTTATCCTTTGACTTCCTGCTCCGAGGCTTTTTCCTGAGCTGCTTGGGATCCGCAGGTGGCTGTTGTTTTACTCTGAGTAGGAGAATTTTGGGTTCATACTTTTACAATAAACAATAAATAAATAAAAGTCAGTATTTCTGTTTCCTATTAATTAAGGAAAAGCCAAGGTGCATTATAACAGTGAGTATAAATCAGGACATTAAGTACCACAGTGCACAAATGATTGTTGTCTTGTGTTTATTGAACAGGCTGTGCCCACGTTTGATGTGTTATGTGACAAGATGAAATTAAAAGTATACTGAGTGAACCAAGACACGCTGCTGGGTCTGAATTTAATAGCCATGCATCCTTCTACTACAGTTAAACGGATTCCTCTTTAATAACGATATGTTGCATGATGTTATGTCTTGTTCCATGTTGCAGATCTCATTAAAGCTAACCTGTGGTCTTGTCAACCCTTTTTTTTTTTAATCAGTGTTCACAGACACTATCTATTATGGTAAAGTACCCACGGCCTTTCTGTGTGTGCATGTGTGTTACAATCACTGTAGCATTTGTCCTTTCATTGAGCCTTATCCACTCAGACAGCTGGAACCCAGCAGTGTACACACTGAAAGACACAAAATGCGTGCTGGCAGACACATTGTCAACATACAGCCCTACGGTCAGAAAAGCACACAAATAGAAATAGAAATACAGAGACATAGAGGAAAACCAACAAGCTGTCAGATATATATTGTTCATATCGATGCACATTATCTACAGGAAGATTTTCATACTAATCATCCATCCATTTTCTTCCACATATCTAATTCAGGGTGTATAAAAGGCCCCAAAGTTCATAGAATAGTTTTATTGGTGATTATGAGTTTATATAAGTTCATTTAAGGACGTAACTAAGCTGTTCAAGTATCAAGTGTTGGTTGATCACCTGCACCTAGAGGAGGCCAGATTAATAGCCGATGCTTACCTCAACTCTACCACACCCTTCACTGATACTATGGAGGCCCTCAATGACAAATTCGGCCAGCCACATCAGATAGTGCTGAGGCGTATTGCTGCGATGATGGACTCACCTGACATCAGGCGTGGAGATGTCTCGGCATTTGAGAGATTTGCCCTCCAGATACAGTCACTAGTGGGGATGTTAAGGACACTAGGCCCAGAAGGAGAAGTGGAACTACACTGTGGTTCACATGTTGCTCATCTGCTTAGTAAACTACCCCCCGAGCAGAGAGCAGAGTTCCGCCGCTGCATGTTCCAACAAGGTGTGAGGATGCATACCTTGGCAGATCTCGCAGGGTGGCTTAAGTATGAGTCCTGGTGCCAAGACTCTGAAGGGCAGCTAGCAGTGAAAGGGACAAAGGAGAAACAGTGGCCCAGGCCTGAGGTGCGCCAGAGTAAGAGATCCATCACAGTCCTTCATGGTGCAAAGGAGGTAACGACAAAGCCACAGGCTGTGAGGCCAGGTGGTGTGGCCAGTAAGAACAAGCCATACTGTCCATTCTGTAACACGGAAGAGCACTATCTCAGTCAGTGCACAGTGGTATCCAAGTTGACAAAGGACCAGCTAACAGAGTGGATAAAGAGTAATGAGATGCTGGCGCTGCGCACGGTCACACCAGGCGGCCCAGTGCAATCTGAGAAAGACGTGCAGCCTCTGCCAAGGGAAGCACCTGCAAGGTACTGCATGATGTCAATGTTAGAACACCTAAAGGGTCACAAACAACAGCAGTGGTGAGCTGTGACTCGAAGGCGGCGACCGACGTCCTGTATCTAGACAGACCCACTGAAGGCTGCAGAGTCCTTCTAAAGATCGTCAAAGCCTGCATTCATTATGGCAAGCGAATAATCAACACTTATGCCGTACTGGATAACGGGTCAGAGAGGACAATGCTTCTGCCAGAGGCTGCCGAGAAGTTAGGCATGCAAGGGATCGCAGAGGACGTCCCACTGCGCACGATTAGGCAGGACGTGCAGACTCTCAGAGGTGAGTCAGTGTCGTTTTCTGTTTCCTCTCCCTCAAGGCCCAGGACCAGGTTCAAGATTGCTGGGGCCTTCACTGCTGCACGCATCGGACTTGCAGGCCACACTTATCCCATGGAGCAACTCAGAGAAAGGTTTAAGCACCTGATTGGCCTTCCGATCCACACCTTGATAATTGTGAAACCTTTGCTACTCATTGGCAGTGACCATCCCCATCTGGTTACACCCATTGAACCAGTCAGGCTGGGACCTGCAGGAGGGCCTGCTGCTATTCGTACCAGGCTAGGCGCTACAACGGCCAGCGAGTATAGTCGGCCAGCTTGCCCAACCGCAGCAATGCTTGCTGACAACTGTGGCACCTCAGGTCAGTGAGTTAATGAAACATGTGGAGAAACTATGGCAGGTCGACATCGTTCCATTCCGAAACAAGAAGCTTTTTACTCGTTCAAGGCAAGACCAAGAGGCCATACGCATTCTAGACATTCTAGATAAACATGACGTCATCAGTCATTTACCAGAAGAGAGCTGCTCTGCTAGTGTGGAGCTATGGCTGGCCCAGAACAAGGTAGATACCCCAGAATCTACCCTTGAATTGAGCTGGCTATTCCACACAAATGTCCTAGGCTACAAGCATCGTCAAGTTCCATATGCAGTCCCCACGATGCGCAATATCTACAAGGTCCTGGCCAGCCAGTACGAACCCCTAGGGTTCATCTCACCCTACACAACCAGAGTGAAGTTAATCATCCACCATCTTTGGGACAAGCAAAGGGGTTGGGATGACCCACACCTGCCTCAGGAGCTTATGCAGCAGTGGACAGCCTGGGAGGAAGAGGCTGTCCACCAGATGCTGTTTAGCTGCATATCCAGTCGTTAAGTCTGACGTCACTAGCCGTGTCTGGGCCTAAACTCTGCTGCAGGTCCATATCAAACGATCACTATGGCATTACCGAGAGTTGAAAAACTGTCTAAAGTCTTTCATCTTTAATAAAATGATGAGCGTTCTGCTCTACCAGGTGTAACAATTGAGTTTAACATCCAGGCATCCATGAAAACGGAATTTATGACATTTAACGGAGTTAGAAGTTAGCAGGAAGTTAGCTCGCTAGCTTCTATCTAAATACAATATCGCATGTCCTGACTG